TAAATGGGTAGTTAATATATTCTAACTTAAAGAATGCATTTTTAGGGGATTGTAAGTTCTTGCTTATGTAAGTGATAGAGTTGAATACTTGTGAGAATAGATAATTGATGTTTTCCCTTGCAAAGTGAAGGAACAAATTTTCAACCACTGGGATAGAGAGGACTTTCAGAAAGATGCCTGAAGACGTTCTAATAACTTGTTGCAGTGAAGACTGGTCTACAACTTGCCGTTCTAAGGGAACCAAATATAAAGTAGCGATGACATGTGGTTAATAAATTACAAACCCAAATTTTACTGTGACTGCAAAGAAGGAGCACAAAACCAAAGGTGAAATGGACATGCCTGAATAGAAAAGGTGATTGGGAAAGTCTGGAGGACCCATAGTGGTGTATTAAGTAATGCAGTAATAAATGAGAACTGATTTACCTACCAGAAAAGTGCCAGTTCACCTACATCTGATGATATATTAATTATTGGAAGACGAAGAAGGAATGTAAGGACAGTGTGAACAGAGCTGTAAGCCATCCAGTGAATGGGTGCAAAGAGAGATGACTTCCTGTAAAATCTGTTCAGCTAAAAATAATTTAAGATTTGAAAATGAGCGTTGAGTGGGAAAATAAGTAATTCCTAGGCTGTGAAAACTTCCCTTCTATGGAATTTACTGATGTAGAAAGCGTATAAGGCATGAATGAGCTCTAGACTAAATCCTTAGGTCTTTATTTGCAATTGTTGCTTCAGTAAAAAACACTATTTTCCTGAAGAAAAAAAATATAGTTTGTAGTATTGTAAATAGTCTGTGGTCTATTAAATATCTTCAGTTTTAGCATGTCCATTTCAAGATCTTGTACTGGCTGCATGGAATAAAACTGGTCCTGGGAAGTATAAATCATGCATCTTGTAGCACCCTTCCATTGGAATTTGATGTTGTGTCACATTTGAATGGCAGCTGCGTGCAAAATTTGTGTTGAATGTTAATATATTTCACCGTAACAATTTTATTCTGCTTGCTTAATTTTTACAATTTATTTGTATTCAAAACCGGGTTTAGGAGAGAGAAATGTTTTCATTCTGAGCAATCCATCCATTGAATCTGAAGCATTTACTGAGTATTGAAGCTCCTGTGGCCAAAAGCGCACAGGCTTCTTTGTATCTTCCTGCGGGATGAATTATCACCCCTGATAAGAGGGTCTGCTGTTTGAGCATCTCCTAGATCTGTTCTCCTTGGTTATTATTATCAGTTAGTGTCCCGTGGTAGCAAAGAACAAGAGCTGTTCGTCCTGGATTTGACGTGCTCTGTTGTGACATTTCTGTGTCACTTAAAGATGGACATGTTAGACTTCTTGTTGAAGAGAAGGTTATACCCGTGATCCTTTCTCCGCTTGATGTATTAGTTTTGTCTGTTTTCTTTCCAAGTTGGCTCACAAGGGCATGGATGCCTACCAAAACTTACTTCTTCTGGTCTGGACACAGAGAAATCTGTAACTGAAGCTCAGTTAATCCCTTCGATCCCTCTTTGCTGCTGCATCCATGAGCCCTTGTCCTAACCCCAGCACTGTGGCTGAGTTGTCAAAACACCCTCGCGTTGTCTGCCTCGGTCTCTTTGCTGATCTTTGTGAAGAGAATGCCATTCTGCATGCATCCACAAAGCTGAGCAGCAAGCACCAGCAGCATGTCGAGTAGTGTGTATTATTCCCCATGCCATGGATGACCTGAAAAGCAAAGACTGCGTGTATCGTGCGAAGAAAGAATAGGAAGAGATGGTGATCAGTGGGTGCCCGTTCTTCCACGTGCATAGGGAAAGTGGGAATAACAAACCTGGGCTAGGTCTAGAAAGGGAGAAGGGAACTGCACGTCTGTCTTCCCTTGTGATTTAAAGAAAAAGGTGACGTTCTTAGATGAACTGGGTGGCTAGTTTTCAAAACAGAAACGTGGGACACAATAGCTTGAGAAAAGACTGCTTTTCCAAAGCAGAGCGGATCTTTTTCCCCTTGCTGGTCATTAGCAGTGCTTGTGAAGACCAGCCCTTCATGGAGGAAGTCATGCTGGAACACAATGAGCTGGTGGGGATTTTAAGCTTCCCCCAGCATGTAATAACTCCAAGTAATTGGTAGGTACATGCGCTTCAAGGACAATGGCGGTTTTGCTCCTTTGCCCATTTAAATCACAGTATTCTGTGCAAGACGGTGCAGCCAAATGCGTGCTGGAACGCGCAGCACTAGTACAGGAATATTAGTACGTATGGCACGTTCCTAAAACTTATTCAATATACAGCAGATTTAGTGCAAGTTGGGTGCGTGTGGCTTACAGGTCTTGTTTTTAGATACCATCTCTTTCAGAGAACCTTTTTTTCTGGTAGGATTTCTGAGCCACTCTTATTGCTCTTACGTGGAACGGAGGGTCCGGCCCCCCAACCACACTGAAGGTGGTGCTGGATGTAGAAGTCTGGCAACGCAAGCTCCCGACAGCCTGGCAGGACCTGCAGCCCTTCAGCAGAAGGTTCTTCTGCAGGTGCTGTCCTGTTTAGAGAAGGAGAGTGATGCTACCTTAGCTGTTATGTGAAGGTAAAGCAGTTGGATGGTTGCTGGTGGCTGGTAAGAGAAAGGACTAGCAACAGCCCTCGCAAAAGCACCCTGGCTTTCTCCTGCAATCAAAGGGTCATCTCTTCGGTGGTCATCGCATGCAGATAGCTTTGCCTGATAAAGGGGACAGTAAAGCTGTGGTCTAAAAGCCAAAATTTTCAGATGCTTGGCAGATCTGAACCATGTTTGGGGCTTGGTGTAATTGCAAAGCAAATAGAGTAGAGTAGAGTAGAGTAGAGTGGAGTGGAGTGGAGTAGAGCGGAATGGAATGGAATGGAATGGAATGGAATGGAATATTGCAGGTGAGATATTCATGTTGAGTCCAAGTTCTGCTGAACAAGGCTGGTCTGAAGGTCTGAGTGACTCAGCCCTTTGAGAGACAGAGCATTTGTCGGTGCTTGAGATGTCCATCCAGGTTTGGGGAGAGGGATTGTAACATCAATAAAAATGTTTGTCTGGGGGCTCCACCTTCCACCGGAGCTCAGGGCTTTCATCCCCAGTTTAGCAGAATCACTGGTGGTTCCTGCAACGGCCTGAAGATCATTCTGAGAGTTTCACTGTTGTTATGGACAGTTTCATAATGGAGGGAGTTTTTGCGTCTTTATATTTACAGTGAAATTTAGTGCTCAGCGTCAGATGTTTGGCTGAAAATGTCAGTACCGTGTTACAGCTGAAAGCAGCTCACCCCTCTTACAATAGATGCTATTTTGTCCTAAACATGTGATTTTTGTCCCACACGCACATACCTGTCATGTTCCATCCTCCAAAAATTCTGGATATTAAATGTGCCCCACAGGAGGGTAAAGGATGAAAAAAGCAGTATTTATGGAAAGCCTTCACGTGAAGAAAGATTAGTCTTAAGAGTTTCTTCATACATTCTTACCCAAGATGTCCTAATCTCAGCTGAATTCCCAAATCATGTAATACTGACATTAGGAAAGAAGGAGCACTGGGGAAGGTGGGCACCTGGTTTTGTCTGGAACGGGGAGCTCTGCGTTGGCATTACCCGGCCAACAGTGGTGAATATTTTTCCCTTAGAATATCAATTCAGTTGCACTGATTTTAGAATCCACGTAAAACCGTAGAATGGTTTAGGTTGGAAGGGACCTTAAGGATGATCTAGATCCAACCCCCCTGCCATGGGCATGTAACATAAATGAAAAAAAAGGCAAGATGTGATTAATTCAGAATATCGTACTGCGGTTACGGAGAACTGAAGTAAGAGTGTTTGGTCAGAAGGGTTTATGTGTGTGATATTTTGGAGGAACCAGCAGATAGTTTGTGTAAAGTATGAATAAATGCTACTTTTGTGTCAAACATCTGGATCGAGGTGTTTATTTTGAAGTTTCTGATGGAAAATATAGTTCACATCCCCATTGTAAAAGTATCTTTCAGAGCAGTATTTTCGGAGGGGCAGCCTGTATGCTGGTACGCAGTTACCAGGGCATGAACAAAGAATGCCTGGTTTCAGAAATGTTGTGTGCGTCGCCGTTTATACAAAAGAAAGCTGGAAAAAAAAAAAAATTAGTTTATTGCGGCATACACGGTGATAAAGACACTAGTTGCGAAATGCTGGTTTCATAAGTATAATTCATTATACTTTCTTTGATCCAGTGTTACAAATTAGGGTCACTCGTGTCAGGAGATTAAAACCTTTTTGTCTCTCTTTGATATCAAACTATTCTTCCCCCGTCCCTTTTATCTTGCAGAGCAGCACTGAATTCCACAGCATCTTTGCCAGTTCACTCGTGTTATTTGCAGCAATCATTTAATTGGTTTTAGAACTAATATTATTTAGTCATACTGTCATTTGCAACAACAGAGGCCCTTTAATACCCTAAAAATGTTGAGAGGCTCCAGCGTTAGCTGGGTGAGCATATGTATGAGAGAGACCACAAAGAATTTTGGGACCATGGTGGGAGTGCAAGGTAGCTAAATTGGATAGAAAAAGGAAAAAAAAAAAAAAGCCCCATACAAGTCAAAGTAAGATTGTACATCAGAAAAACTACAGCAATCTACTGAAAATTAGTAGATGATAGTCATGAGTAGCTTACAGTGAACCACGGGTACCAGCTTCCCTGAAGGACAGAAATAGGAACTTGGAGAAGCTTGTAAAAGGTGTCCTCAGGGAATCTTCCATTTTTTCACTATGATACCTTTAATCCTAGAATTGTCAAGCCACATGGAAAATAATAGGACTGAATGGTTCAGTCAGTTAAAAGTTAGTATTATTTCTTTTATCAAAAATATTAGGTCTTTCTGTGTTTCTGGAGCTGTTAGGATTTGTATAAACTTTAAAACAAGTGAAGTCAAGTATTGAACTTGTATTGCTCTTTCTTTTTTAATTTAAGATCATTATCTGTGACTAAGCAGACGCTATTCAATAGAAAGAAAGAACTTAAAGCCAATATTTTTTAACAGATGATTCAACGAGAGGCAGAAGTAAAGAATAAGGTAACTGCTGTGGCGTTGACAGACTCTGTTCACAATGTGTGGCATCAAGAAGTTGGGAAAACTATTCGAGAGTGGATGCGAGAGGTGAGGCCGGGTTTTTTTAAAGAGTTGGGGTATATACGTCTGTATATGGCTGTATAAACATGTCTTTATCTGCTGACCTCTTCCATTTCTTTAGGGTATGAAAGACAGCACGTTACAGGAGTGCGGAAATAGTGTGCCCATACCAGCCCCTAAAATAACCGAGATTAAAGCCATTTCTGAACTTCAAAGATAGCAGTCAAAATAATAAGAATCAAGTCCAGTGTTTCTTCCCGCTGCACAGCAACACAGACGCGTACACCAAGGCAGCCCACACGCTGCTGTGTATCTGGAGCAGAGTCCTGTGCACACCCCGCGCTCCTGGCTTGATCTGGCCATGCTGGAAAAAGCCCCTTGAAAGTCTCCGTGGCTCAGTGTGATGATTCTCACGGCCGGCACAGGATCCTTTCTCTCAGCACTTCTGCGAGATGTAATTACTTCTGAAGTGCTCTGAAGTTTTCTGACGGAAAGGCGGAGCGTTTGCTGCTGTACGAGCACCAATGGGTGGTTGGTCCAAAAAGATCTGGTGTCAGTTCACGGCCAGCATCACCAAGTTCCACCTTTGGGTGAAGGATGATGCCATGCGTTCATTGTTCTTTTAGTACTCAAGTTGCTGAGATTTTAAAAATCGTAATTTTTTTAAAGCAAGACCAACTAATCTTCCATTCATGAGCCTCTTCCTCACCAGATCAGGCTCGTGTCTGTGTTTTCTGCGTTACCGTTGCAGAGCGTTGAAGCGATAGGTGCACGTGGCAAATTTAAACTGGTTGCATCCCGAACTTTTTGTTAGATTTGACTTTTTCCCCTGGATGTAGCGAAACTTTCTGTATAGGCTGCCTGTTCCTGACTTAACCTTACAGTTTTATAGGCCGTGACTGATGGGAATAGAGAATCACCTGGGATGCAGCCTGACAGCTCTGACTTAAATGTTAAAAATATAAAGAATGGTAACCCCTACAGGCTCTGTCAGAAGAATCCCCATTTTCTTTATGGGAAATCAAAACCTTAAAATATATGTTATGTAGTAAAACTGAAATTTTAAATCCTGTAATTTGAATCTGACAACTCCATTTTTCTTTAAGCATTTAGTCTGAATAAGACAAGTGCATTACCTTTAATTTCATTTGCAGAAAGTAGATCTTAAAGAATAAGTTAAATGATTAATGGCCTAAAAAGTGGATGGAGTGTCATAACTTACATTAGCATTGAAAATCTCCTATAAGAAAGAAGAATTTTACATATGTGAAGTGTGGCTGAGTGGTATTAAGACTAGCATATCACCTGGATATCTCTTACTTTAATCAGGTTTAAGGCTACTGGTAAAATGAATAATAATTAAAATATACACCTAATCGCTGCCTGTCTGTAGGGCTAATTGCTGTCATTGAAAGAATGAATTGTTAAAAAAGTAATTCTTCATTGGAGCTATCTCTCCTGTATCATTGGTGGCCTATTTTTAGTACCTATAGAAGTCATGATTTTTGAATTTATTAGGAGCTGTGATGAATGATAAAACAAATCATCCATTTACATATCTTGACACTGCTTTCGAGAATACTTATTTCTTACAGGCAAGTGTCACATTGTATATAAAAGCTGGTTAATTGTGTGCTAATCTTCTGTATTATCTCCAGCTCTCTGATGTAGTGTTCTATCAGTAGTTAATATTAATTTTACTTATTTCAAATGAATGTAATACTTCATAAAAATTCTACTTCTTTTATAATTTCTACCATCTTACATTTGCAATTTCACATTCAGCTGTTAATTAAAATTATACATGCAAATTGTAAAATGTATGATGCTTTACTACTTTAAACCTTAAAGCCTTTGTGAAATACTTCCATTTTAACCATTTTTACTAAAAAAGTTACATTACTGGGTAGTGTGTTTGTTTTCTTTTTTTTTTTTTTTTTTCCATCGAGTTCAATAGTTTCATTGATCTACTGTTTCTTACAAAAATCTGCCATGCTTTGTGAACTTCACTTTCTAATCTCATACAGCAACCCTTCCTTTATGTTGTTCCTGCTCTCCCTGGTCCCAGAACAGTAGGGTTGCCTTGACAAATCTATTCAAAAGCCATTCCTCGCCCTTTATTGGTGGGGACTGAAGCCTTTGAAATTCTCTCCTCACTGCAACACAGCTGACATCTTCTTCCAGACAGAATGAATTAAGGAAATACAATAAGACACTTGATCTACCAGTCAAGGATCTTTCCACAGTGAGGACGGACTCCATGGTGCACAACTAGGGCAGCAAGCATCTACAAATACACAATACATGCTTGTTTACCCGAATAGCAATCGTCCATTTTTACAATCATGATTGATGGGATGATTTTTTAGGAATCTGTCGGAAAATCCATTGGGTCTTTCCAAAAAGTTGTGCGGGGTTTGTTTTGGGTTTTGGTTTGGTTTTTTTTTTTTCCCCTTTTCCTCTAAATGAAGTTAATCAGGTTTTCAGAAAGGGAAAACTCAGATTTGTAATAAGGGCAGCCACGTAGATCTCCTAGTTCAGATGGCAATCCTATTAGAAATGTAGTTACTTTATAATTAAGTCTTCGATTCACTAGATTTGGTGTAGTTTCAGCGTATTTTACTAAAAGCATATTATTTAATACTTCAATTCATAGACTTCTCTGTATAGATAGCATTTGGAGCAAAACATTTAAAAAATTCATGGTAAATTCATCCTACTCAGGAGTTCAGGAATGAAAGGTAAATGTAAATGCTTCCTTAACGTAATTCCCCAAAGACCAATATTTACATCCTTAAATGTTCATGCCCAGTTCATCTCAGCTGTATTTCCAATCATTTGAATATTAGTCGGCTATCTTGATGGCTTTCATTCAGTTATAATCTGTTGTTCTGTGATTTCACAACCATTCTTTCCACAGTGTGCTCCCATCAAAACACCCTGAAAAATTCTGATTTCTTAATGTTGGCAAGAGAGACGGCTCCATGTTTATATCAACACCTATTTAACAACTACAGAAAGGAAAAGATTAAAACGCGCGGTGGGTAATTCGGGCACTGGTTGGTCCCAGCACCTACTTTAGTCCACTGGCACTCCAAGTAGCACTTAAAGACATGCTATTTAAGCACATTAATCTCCTGAATTATGGTCTTACTCTTTTTGCTTCTTTAGAATGAAACTACGATATTTCGTGTGAATAAGTGAGCGCAGTTTACCTTCCACTCCCTCTCAGGGCTGCTATGTGAATTGGTTTGAGTATTTTGAGGTGATCATTGTCCTTACTTAACAAAGTCTGTATTTATTTTTGCTCTTGAGTTTTTGGCTTACCCGGCAATCGCCGGTCTTCTCTTACAGAACTGCTGCAACTGGGTCTCCAGCTCCGAGCCCCTGGACACTTCGGTGGAGTCCATGCTGCCCGACTGCCCCCGCGTCTCTGCAGGTACGTGGGTTCGTTCGCAAAACAAAGACAGCGGACGCGTTAGTGCCCAGGGGCAGCTCGGTTATTTAAAAATGCATTTGCTTCTCAACGTGTTTTAGCCCTTCTCGCAGCAAGATATGGTTGCGAGCATATGGATGCTGCTGTTCTTCGCAGCCCGCTGTTAATTGTTGGGATTATTTTTTTTGCTTTGTGTGGGATTTAAGTTCTCTTGTCGACTCGTAGCATGTATTTTTCTAGTCGTCTTTTCTCTTTGGCTTTAAGAACTGATGACATTACAGGTAGGAGCTTAAGAAGAGTAATAGCAATGATGAAAACTGGGAAATTTACCATAGATCCTTGAATAAATATCTGATTTTATGTAGGCAAGAAGGTTTTAAAGGAGTACGTTAATGAAAGGTACAGCTAAGTGAAATAAGACGCTTTCCTGAATCCCCATCAACACAAGTCTAGTTTATGTGGCAAATTGTTTACAGTGTCCAAGAATCTTGACGTGAGATTAGTGAATCATAAATCATAAATCATAAGGAGCACATGAAATAATACACAGAGACTTTTGTTAATGTGTAATAATTCCAGAAAGTAGACATAGTTGTCAACGTAACAGGAAAAATCTCAAATCTCTGTAGGAAAGTAATCTAAAATACATAAAGCTGTTACTGAACTTTCATGTTTGATTATCAGATTTCCTAAAAGCCATAGGTAGCGTATTTCTGTAGAATATAAAATCAGGTTCAAAGGAAGACACAGCCTATACAATATTAATTTAAAAGCTGGAACAGTGTTTGACCTTGCTCCGTGAGACGCAGTTGTTCGTTTGACAAGTTAGAGATTCATATCTGTCTGGATTTGTGGGGTTGTTAATGAGACCTAACCTTGCAGATTAAATTCAGTTTACGGCAGGATATTTTTAAGGCTTGGAAAATTTAGCAGTACTTTGTTTGAGAGCTCACAACAACCAGAGACCTGTAATCACATTTCTGCTGTGGGTTGGGATCTAACCACACGGATCGTCAGCTCTGTACAGACACAGCGCAATCGCATTGACATTGCTCTTTAGTGCTTAGGGAAATGAAATATTACTAAAATTTTCGTAGATCCAACGTTCGTTTACCAACTTTTTGCTCCTTTAGGGGAGAGCGCTGCATCTAGGAGAAAAATTCTGTTCAGTGGTAGAATTCTTTACAACAGGCTTAACTTTCCATCTCTGGCATCTGCGTTGCTGTTGTGCAAGAGTGCGTGTTATAGAGGTCATTTTAGTCAGGTAAATAAGGGCTTGGGTGGCAACCAGTCGGTATTTACAGTACACTTGCCAGTAATGAAAATCCTCCGTATGAGCTTCTCTTCTCTTTCTTTGTATTCATCCGATGTAAATAATACAAAAGGTATTCTATACAAGAAATCCTAAGTGTTATCTAAAAAACTGACTGATGCTTTCATAGGGGTGTGAATAAGTCTTAATTTTACTTTTCTGTCGATGGGTCATAGTGGGCGTAACTTTTATACTTCACTTAATGAACTCCCAGCTACACTGAAGTCCTTGGCAGAAGAATTAATTTAAATGGGGTAGGATTTCATCCAGTAAAAGCTGTAAAAGGAAAAGCCTGCTATTTGTATTTCATGCATACATACAATGCCACTAGATTAAGATTACTGATGTTTTAGAAGTTCTTGTCAGAGATTTTGGACAAGATTTAAATGGAAGCTAACTATTTCCAGCTTGGTTCTTTGTAATATAAAGACTGTTTAAAAATAGTATGGCTTTATGTGACTACTGCTGAATTATCAATTTGCTCATATGTTTTTGTTTATATTTCTTATACTCATGTCTTATATGGACAACTGTAAGACATTTACAGAGGAACAAGTGAGTAAGTCCTACAGTGTGTTTATGTGAGCAATGACATAAGCCTGCATTGGGGTAATCTGTAATAAATTTATGAACTGCTATTAGACGTAGGAGCATTAGTATTTAATGTGAGAGATTTTCTTTCACTTGTTTCCTGAGAATTGCAGTACTGAAATAGCCCACATTCAAATACTGGCAGCATTGCCCTTGGTATTTCAATGAATGACAGTGAGAGCAATCAGAGCAACGAGACGGAGATTTTTTTTTAAATAAGCCTTTTGCAGAAGGAAGATTCACTTCTCTTTTCTGCTTGGAACCCCGTATTTTATCTGTGTTCGCACGGAAGAGTAAGTTTGGGAATAACTGCCTCTCCGTCACATAGCATGAGCCAGCTTTTCCAAAAAGCTGGCCTGATATTCCGCCATTCAGCACACTGGGATTTACAGGAAACCCCGGTTTATTTGTGAGCAGTGCCTACTTCAGATTATGTCACAGTCTCGTGCTTGCATTTCCCTTAAAAATCACTAGAGAGAAATATATGGCCATCAAACTGGAAAAACAGCTTGTATTTCTAGATAGAGTTGTTCAAGCTTTTGATTAGAGCATTATTAAGTAATTAAAATGTTTGCCACAATTCATTCATGTCTTACTCGGTTACAAAAAGGAATAAATGCACTTTAATAATTAAACGTTGCGGGCCTGAGAGCAACAACAATACAGGAAAAGCAAGCCATAATAAAACCATAATAAATCCTGTCCTCATGGCAAGAGGTGGGGTACGGTGAAGGTCCTGCCTACATGGTCTTTGCGCTATGTCTCAAGGATTTGCTTGCATGTTAGTGTCATAGTTTAACGTCTTCCTGCGACAGGTTATTGTCATGCCAATGGGATTGTCATCCAAAATGTCCTGTGTGGTATATGTAATCATAAAAATCCTACCATGCTGTGTTGAAAGACATACGTCCCAGCTCAAACATCTTCCATCAGACCTGGAGCTCCTGTTGAGGCTGTCTGTCCAACACTACCCATCTGGTTACCCATCCCATATTTATTCAACAAGAACAAGGCATTCTTCTTCATTAGAGAAGAGTCCACCACTGTCTCTCTGCCATTTATCTTTGACTGGGCAAGGCTGTCCAGCATCATGTCCAGAGAAGGCTCACAGCCCTCTCTGACTTCCAGAGTTCCCATTGCACAGGTGAGGTCCTCAGCTGTGACACTGTCACCTCATTGTCCTGGAGGAGCCCTCTGTCAGCCTCCAGACTTTCATCTATGTTAAGAAAACTATCATCTCCTACCCTCTTCACTTTCAGCCGTCGTTAAGGACCTCAGACCTGAGGTCATCTTCTGCCTCAGTCTTAATCCACCTTCCTAATGGCGTCAAACCAGAAGACCTCTTTTCTGTCTCAGAGGAAATGGATCCATTCCCTACCTATCTAAGACATAAGCAAATGCAGGGTGGAGAAAGGTGAAGACTTTAAAAGCAGCCCCTACCTTGAAGTTCATCACACAAAATGGAGTGAGGGTGGGAGTCTTACTGGTTAGGAGATTGGAGGTCAACTTGTAATGTGACACAGACAATGGGACAGACATTTTAAAGACAGGTTGTATCGTGTTACTGCTGACGGTAGTTGTAGCTCACTTCGTGTCCCTGAGACCTTAGAACATTTCTCCTAGTTCTGGAGCAGGGAGTTCACAAGACCTTTAAGAAACCATCCTACTGGAGCAGCTGCTGGGTGGGAATGCCTGGAAGTGAGGATGGGAGAAAGCAGAGCCGTGGATCTGTGTCCATCTCTACTGGTGTTCGGGAATTAAATTACTTTGATTTCAGGCCCCTTCCCTGAACATTACCCCTGGAAAGGTGTTGCAGTAAATTTTGCCAGGTAGACATGGCCTTTGTTTTCCTGAATATGAGTATTTTGGAGTGCCTCGTGGGGAACACCTTAGTGTTTGGATAAGATACATTCCTTAGTTCTTGTGTTTCTGCCAGTGAAAGCTTTTTATTTAGGAGAGAAGATTAAACTTTGCAGTATTTTGCCAAAGTGGATATGCACCAACACTCATTTACATAATCAAATAAAAAGAAGTTATTGTAACATTAGTAAAATGAATTGCCTAATCAAATCCTTTTAAAGCCTTTCTAGTTGACCCCCAAAATCACTAGTTATTCTTTTAACAGTTGCAGCCATTGTAGTTAAAACATTGTAAAATAAGGAAATTATAACATCAAAAGACAAACAAGATGACACAATGGAATGAAACGTTGACAGTAATCAAGAAAAGCTCTATTCACGGAAGAGCCTAGACTTGAATATATGTCTCTGTAATAAGGAAAAAAGTGCAAGAATTAATTCATGTAGCTGAATAAAGTGATCTCAGGCTGGTGAAAGAAAAACAAACTCTTAATTTCGGGGGACAGGTATGACTGCTGCTGGTGCTGCTCTGAACAGTATCCTGAGTGAGTCCTCAGTATTCCCTGGTACCAGACATCAAGGTTGGCTCTGTATGGTATATAAAACATTTCATTTCATTTAGGCAAGCTGACTAAAACTTTTTTTTTTTTTAACTTTGAATTCAGAAGAGGTCATTAATATTATTTCTAACAGACTACTGCAGGTGTTTGGTTTTTTTATAGAGAAATAAATAGAAGGGAAAAAATGGCTTCACAGAATGGTTGTGGTGTGAAGGGACCTTTGGAGATCATCTGGTCCAACTCCTGCTCCAGCAGGGCCACTTGGAGGCGGTTGTCCAGGACTATGTCCAGCCTTCCATAAGCTTCATTGCATATCAGTAAAGAAACCGTGGTCATGGTAATTAGTATTCATGTAAGGTTGCGGGGGTTTTATTGGTATACTTGCCCTAACTTCCAAAAGACCCCAGAGAGTCATGCTGTAACCACGTGGTGTGCCGGATGGTTGTGTAGGGTTTAAGTCCATACATAGGTGAGTATGGAGTGGAGACAGTGGTAGTTGTCCAAATTCAGTTAAGACATGTGTCAGCACCAAAAGGGGGTCCTTCACATTGCACAGAGGTTCAGAATGTGGTTGTTTTTCTGCTTTGGCTTTTCAGATCCTTTTATCTGGGAGAGGGGAAGAGGGGCTGGTGGTTGTTTCTGACGGAGCTTGTCCCAACAAGGGAGCAGGGTTGCAATCCA